CCCCCCCGGCGTGTGGGCCGGCGGCCGCCGTCGCTGCCGGCTGTGAGCGCGGGCTCGGGCCTGCTGTCGCTGTCGGCGCTGGGCTCCCAGGCCCACCTCTCCAAGGAGGACAAGAACGGGCATGACGGCGACACCCACCAGGAGGACGACGGCGAGAAGTCAGATTAGCGCCCGGGCGGAGGGTGGGGAGACAGGCACAGGGCGAGGGCGAGGGAGGTCAGCGGAGCCCCAGCTCGGGTGTGCCGGGCGCCTGCCGGGACCCCAGCCCTGCCCTGTGCTGCCCCTCACTCTGGCTCCCACCCCGTCCGGCCTCCCTCTTCCCCTGCAGCCCAGATAGGTGAGCACCCGCTCAGGCCACAGGCTGAGGCCTGGAGGGGCTGCGGGGGCCCAGGTCCGAGGGAGCAGCACCTCAAGCAGCCCAGTGTCCCCGGCACCCCCGTCCGCAGTCCACACTCCTGTAACTGACAGTCCGCCCGGCCGGGCCTCCACCGCACTGCATGCGCCGCTGCCCCTCCCGCCTGGGCGCCCCGCGGTCCGGCCCCAGCTGTGCTCCTCCACCTCCCGCCCCACGCACCTCCTCGCTAGCCCCGTACCCCCTGGTCCTCGCCCCTCGCCCACGACGGGACAGAGAGCAAGATTGGCGGGGACAGCTGAGGTGGGGTGGCAACCAGGATTTCCCTCCCCCTTCCCAAATAAAGATGAGGGTACTGAAGCCGTCTCGTCTTCCTTTTCGTTTCTCTTCCAGTACGCTAGTTGACTTTGCAGAGGGGATATTAAAAAGGAAAAGAAACTTGTGGAAAAAAAAGCAACTCCCACCCCGTGTCTGTATAGTCGCTGTTGGTTGTGTTCAGGCGCGGGTCTCTGTGGAGAGGGTCTCTGGGGAGATACGAAGCGCTGTGGAGGGTGGGCTTAGCTGTGCCTTTCAAATAAAGACTGTGAAGTCGCCGCTGTGGTCGTGCGTCTGTGTTGTGGGCTACCCGCGGAGGACGGGCAGGAGGGCTCGGCCAGCCCGGCAGCCACCTCCCCTTGACCGTCCGCCCAGAGTGGGCGAGCGGGCGCGCTAGGTCGCACAGCACAGTCCCGGGGCCGGACGGCGAGGCCACCGTTTGGCAGATGGGCGGAAGGTCAGCGCGCTGGTACGTGGCCAAGCTGGCGTCTGAGCGGAAATGCATCCTTCCCAGGGACCGGCTGTGGAGGCGCCGGGAACTGACACACCGTTTTTCTTCCTCTGCCAAAGAGCACAGCCACGCTGCAGTCCCTTCTCCGGTTGGCCCTCCTCTGGGGACGTGGGTGCACACGCACCTGCTGTTTCTGGACCCCCGGGGGATCCAGCCTCTTCACCGCCACGCCCCAGGCTGGCCCCGCACGGTGCAGGCCAACCTCCAATCTGCAAGTCTCCAGCCACCCACGCTGGACCCCTGGAAGAGCCAGCAGGAGGGGGACTGCCACCAACCAGTGGCCTGGCCCTGGCGTTGGAGGGTGCCCGTCCACCCTCGGAGCTGGGACCTTGGTGGGGCACAGCGACCCTGAGGAACGTTTTGCTCTGGGCGAGAATGGCCAGGTGCCCACACCAGCCTGCTGCGGGCCCAGCCCTGCCCCTCTACAGCCCAAACACAGCTGAAAACGGCATCCCGTGGAGTACACGAGTTCAAAACCTGACCTCAGGCCAGCTTTGTGATGCAGCAATGTCCTGCTCAAAAGGAACCAGATTCCAGGGGGCAACCCTGGTTCAAATCCCCGGCCTGGTCAGCATGAAACACGCTGGGTCTGTGCATGAGTCTCCAGGATCTGGCAGGGTGGGGGCTGGAAGGAGGGGCCAGGGGTGACTGGGCCTGGGAGGGGCCTTCTCTGTCTCTGTCTCTGTCTCTATCATGAATAAAGAAACCCTGAACTCGCCTACATGGGAACAGGGGTCACATGCCCTCGGAAGGCTGTTGGGCACCCCATAATCAGCAACACCCCCCTGGGTCCACTCCTCAGAAATACCAGGAATTCACCAAAAAGACGCAGTCATTGCTGGCCACAACCGCCTGACCCAGAAACCGTGGTGGGGCCATCCCCGCCCAGAACAGTGGACTGTGTGGACCATGTGTGGCTGCGCTGGAGTACTATACAGCCACGAAAAGGGACACTACTGCGTCGCACACGGAATCTCCGCCACGTGGGGTGGAGCTGGTGAGATAGACGCCGACTCACGTCCAGGGCTGCCCTGGGGGAGGCTGGCCAGTTGCTAACCAACTGCTCCCATTTCTTTCTATCCTTTTTACAGTTTTAAAAAACATTTATCTATTTATCTGTTGTGCTTTTTCGGGCTGCTGGGACTGGGACTTGAACCTTTGGCCATGTAGGAGCCCAGCACCTCAAACATGACACCACCTGCCAGGCCCTCGCTTCTTTTTCTTAATGGTGCTGGAGACAGGCGTCCCTTCTCTGCCCCCTCCCCAAGGCCATGGACATGTGCATCCTTTGTGCTGAGTGGCCCTGGGACACCAACCTGGGACCTCCATGGCTACTGCTGCAGCACTGCTGCTCCGCGGTGCGTCTGACTTGGGAGCAGACTCAGGGCTGTGCTCACTCCGGGTGGTCCACCAGACTACAGCCTGCATGACCCTGCTCAATTTCAATGCTTTTTGTTGCTTTCGGGTTTTGCTATAGTGAGCATCTCCTCACCAGAGAGAGAACAAAAGAGAACCCCCCCCAGGGGTGACCACGCTGCAAGCTCTTCTCCAGCCTCCTCTTGGGGTTTTAGACAAGCACACACGTGCCCCGGAGTGTTTTTCACGCTGGTGGGTCCAGGACTTGAACTTGGAAGTCAGTCATGTGGGATCCAGCTGCCTTAACCACCGCGCCACTGGCGGGCGCCCGATAATCTTCTAATCCGTTTTTCAAATGTGAAAAACCACGCCAGGTGCATGTACCTGTATGTGCCCCAACCCCGGCCCAGATGGAGACCGGCTGCCACGAGCTGGCCCCGTGGGAATGCTGTCTCCCTCCGTCTCTGTCTCTGGCCAGCGCACTGGCGTGGTTACTAACCCGGAAGCAAACAACAGGCCATCTTTGGCGCTCAGGCCTTTGGAATCATTCTCATCTCCCACCAGGCCAGCCACCGGCCCTCCAACGGCCGAGCAGGGGCAGGCACCTGGCTCTGGCCCGCCCTGGCCGGTCCTCCCTCTGCCTGAACAGCGCTCTTTCCCGCCCGGTCTCTCCTGTGACATGCCCTGGAAGTCATTTTCGGAAGGCCTCCCCGACCAGGGTTCTGGGACACGCTCCCATCTGTGGGGTCCAGGCTAGAGGCCTGGCCTCCCGAGTCTCGGTCTCCCTGGTGGGGAGGTCACAGCTAACCTGAGAAGTGCTTAAAGCAGAGGCTGCGACATTTACTCATTTCCTGAAAGTCCCCGTCCCAGAGACAGGGCGGGCAGCAGGAGGGAGAGGGGGACGGACACACCTGGGGACCGCGCGCAGGGAGCGCCTGGAGGGCGAGGCCCTTCTCGCCCTGCGCTTCTCGGGGATCGTGGAGGAGCACCCCGCGAGGCCGGGCTGTCAGCTGACAGCTTGCTGTCATTACCGACCTGCCGCGGAGGAGGGCGCCGCGGGGGGCGCAGGCCCGGCTCCCCCCCCCCGGGGGGGGCGCCTCCCCAAG